GTTGTCCGTCCCCCAGGGAGGAGGTCACACACAGTTCCATGCAATTGGTTCCCTCTTTCCTACCCACTCTCCCTCCACCCTCCCTGTTTTGCCACTCACACCACTGGTACATGACATATTTTTATAAAGGGAAAACCCTTTAACAATGTTATCTAGACTCATATAATAGCTGCTTTGGGTTAAAAATGAAAAAGCATATCAATTCAGTTTATTTTAAAGAGTGACACTTTCTCATAGTTCCTACGTGTTAAATTTCCTTATATGATGGTTCAAGTAATGTGTGTAATTAATGAGTTGCTAACCTACAGGTTGGCAGTTCCAACCCACCCAGGAGTGCCATGGAATGAAGGAAGAGCTGATGATCTGCTTTTGTAAAGGTTACAGTCAGGAAATTCTTAGTAACACGGGCCCATCATGAGTCAGAGTTGACTCAAGAGCAAAAGGTTTGTTTTTTGTAATAAATATTTTAAAGTAAATTAGTTCTAGCTAGAATATAAATTCTTAAAAAAAATTATTTTCCTACATAAACAGTACTTTATTGTTCTAAAGGTGCTCCAGTGGCGCTGTTAGTTAAGTGTTGGACCTCTAAGGCAATGTCAGTGGTTCCAAACCCACGAGTCCTTTGGAGAATGGTGAGACCATCCCAGAATGATTGATAGTCTCAGAGACCTTCTGAGTCATATTGGACTCATAGCTTTTTACTAGCAATGGGGTTCGTTTGGCTGGTTATATTGTTTTAAAATGGTTGGTTTACTCTCTATGCTAAAACCCATCAGTATTATCTTGTACTCCGACACTTTCTAAAGGCAGAGTCCATCTGTGATGCAGTGCTTTACGAATATATTTTAAACGAGGAATCAAATGGACGACAGTTAAAAAAAAAATTGCCTTGATCGATTTCCGGTTGAAGGGTTCAGGTCTGAATTTGCATTGATATTGCTTCCAGTCTCAGCTCCAGTGCTTCGAACATATGGTTTCCTTCCTGTTGCTGATAAAGGCTTGTTTACGGCACCTAGCACTCCAGCAGGTTTGGGCTAAAAATTACACACATACATGTTATTTCTTACCTAACCAAAAGACAGAGATAGAAATTTAGACACATCTAAGAGACACTGTTTAGTCTAAGCCAAGGGATTGTTCTTACCTTGGAAAGTTAAACACTAAATTTATAGAAGTGATAATTTTGGAAAACAGTTTGTCTTAAAACAATCAAGAGTCATAACATTAACTCCTTATTACACAATCAAAATAAAAAGTATTATCAAACAGTCACACTTGCAGTGAAATGCCACATAATCAAGCTTGTTAACATATATAAGTTTTGAAAATGTTTACTGAAAACTGGAGTTCCTTCTTTTTTCTAGGTGTTTTCACATTACTTTTTCAGAAAATGGAAAATGAGCTAACTCATTTTAAGACTATTTCTTTTATTCTACACATCGTAAGTTTAATTTATCACTTCTCAGGAAAATCTGCTTTGTGGAGCTGAAGTAACTTGAAGCCCATCATTGCCATGGAACATTTAGGGCACAATCCTCAGAGTGCTCATGGCAGAAAAAGCCAGAGAATAGCTGCTTGAGGCTACAATGCAAATAGTGATCTCTAAAAATCAGCAACTATACATCCAAGGGGACGACGATGACAGGACACATAAAGGTTATTTCTAGGAATAGCAGAAGTGATATAAATTATCTACTACAAATACCTTTCCTGTTAATAACAGCACCCTGGTCTCTTCTGAAATATAACTCTTGTCATTACAGAAGTCCTATTAGGGGGTGGGGAGAGAAGACAGAGAAATATTAACTAAAATGAAAAGTTCTATTAATTTGTATTACTTCAACTAAGACGGACTTTCAGGCATTCTGGCTTACATTAACAATTACACTAAGATATGAGAGTTAAAAAAAAAACTGTGGAAAAATGGGATTGAAAGATAATAGGCCCAAGCGGAAAGCAAGAGTTCTGAGAATGATGGGGGCAATGAATGTATAAGTGTGCTTTACACAATTGATGTGTGTGTAGATTGTGATGAGAGTTGTATGCGCCCCAATAAAATGATTAAAATTAAAAAAAGATAATAGGATTTTTCCATTAACTTTTGTTAGAATCCCTTTCACATATCAATTCAGCAAATAATCGAAATATACTTATTAAACAAAGCCTTAAGTCTAGCTTAGCTGTAAATTAAATCAGTGGCACATAAGACTTAGGAAAATGTCTGGGACAAAATTTTAAAATGACATTTTAAAGGAAATAATACTATTATTTTCATATGGTTTCAGGCTTAAATTAGTCTGTAAGGAAATTGTATTTCTGGCATGTGTGTTTTAGGCAAGGCTGTGCAATTTCTTTAGCACACAGAATTTTATGCAACTAAAAGAAATGTTCACTCGCTTTATTCATGAAGATATATGGTAGCATCACTAGGCTATCCTACAAACCAACAGTCTTGAAATGTATAGCAGATTAAACTATAAAATCTCATTTTGTGGTAGAACAATTTGGGAATGGATAAGGGTAGTGGTTTAAATATAAACATAATTTCACTGAATTGTAGGTGTAAAAAGGTGAAATGAAAAATGTGCTGTTATATATACATAGTTTATGAAAATGAAAGTAATATGAATTCTAGATTTTAAACAATAAGAATGCTATTTTTAAATTCTAAACAAGCTTCTATATTAAAACAAACTTCAAAATGTCACCTTAAGGCAAAGAATAAAGAAACGTAATTCCATGTTACCAGGAAAGTGAACAAAGGTGAATTAGTACTATTTTTGAGCATCTATTAAAAGTGACAAACTCTTATCAAATAAACCTATACAGTATATTAATAATTGTGCACAAGTGCCATTATTGTATTTCACAGATGAAAACACTGAGGCCTTGAGGCATTAACTCGTCTAAACTCCCTCAAGTTTTAAGTAGTTGATGAGAACACAGGTCTATTAGTTGCCAAGACTAATTCTATTAATGCTAACGTTTCATATATAATTGTACATATGATTACAGTGTACTGAACATTCAATGCGTATGTTTTGTCTGCGAAAGACTAACAGTGCTTCAATGAAGTTAAAATAATTTAGGAACTTTGAAAAACCCCTTTTCATATTTAAAATTCCCAGAAAAGTAGCTCAGACTAAGCAACAACAAAGATTTTTGTCTACTCTGAACTGCTAAACTTGATTTGCATTTTCTACGTTGTAAGGTGTTAACAATATCTTGCAGTTTTGGATGACAATTCCTCTCTTTTAAAAAATTTCATGATTTAAAAAAAATTTTTATTTAATCATTTTATTGGGGGCTCGTACAACTCTTATCACAGTCCATCCATCCAACCATTGTGCCAAGCACATTTGTACATTTCTTGCCCTCATCATTCTCAAACATTTGCTTTCTACTTGAGCCCTTTGGACAATATCTTATCCCAAGAAAAACTCAGTATTTTTTCACTGTGTAGTAAGACATTCTGATATTTGCCATAGGAATGATAGTAACTGAAATTTAAGTCAGTTGAGTGTATTAGAAAAATTAAGGAAAATTACCTTTTCGGGCTGTGTAAAAAATTTCATTGGGAGAACTGGATCCTTTGGTGAATCTGCATTGCACAAAGCACTTTTACTATTTATAACACACAGAGCCACATCACACACCGTATAAAGTTTCTAGGGAAGAAAGAGAGATAGACTGTAACCTTCAGTGTACAAATTACAGTGCTAATTACAAGTAGCGCCAAAAGAAGGACATGTGGTAATTTTTTCATTGATCAGACAAAACTATCTTCTACTGTAATATATTATGAATATCAAATATGTAATACAAAGAACAAAATAAATGAAGAGAAAACAAAGTCCAAACAAAAACACACCAAAGCATGCACTTAACAAAAATTCTTACTAAGTTTGTACGGCACTTACTAATTTTACTGTTTTTTTCCCTCCTGGTCTGCAGAAGTTTGTTTTCCCCATAGTATTAAAGATTCCCCATATACATTTATAATGAAATGCAATGAAAACTGAATGACTATAGACTCAAACTCACTGTTACCCAGTAGATTCTTACTTACAGCAATCCTATAGGACACAGGTAGGGCTGCCCCTGTGGGTTTCTGAGGCTATAAATCTTTATGGCAGCAGAGGCTCATCTTTCTAGAAAGGAGCAGCTGGTGGATTTGAACAGCTGACCTTGTAAGTTAGCAGCAACAACCTGTAACCCACTATGCTACCAGGGCTCCTCTACATGACTATATCTTAAAACAACAATAGGAAAATAAGTGGGATACGAGTGCTAAGGTTTTCTTTACTGTAACATCTTACTTCCTACATGCCTAACACATATCACACATCTTACTTCATTTGTCTTGGATTCATCTGGAGACTGGGCATCTCTGGTCAACTTGATGTTCTCTGCCATCTTTTTCATAAAGGCATGGCTGTTGTTTTCATTCTTTGTCATTAAAACTTCAAGCATGAACCACAGGCACCTAAGTGGTAAACAGACTTCCCTATTAAAACACTAGATATAGCTATTTTTTGTGCTTAATGGATTACCGCCTTGCCAGGAACTCTTGTTGCCTAACTACAATAAAATCAATAAATCATTAAAATAGATCACCAGGAAAACTCTAAATCGAACTAAAGATAACTTATCTATTTATAACATTTCTCTCAAGTAGAAAATTCAAACACAAAATAAGAACATTAAAAATTAAAACAGCTCACAGTTTCACAAGACACCATGAGACACACACCAAAGGCACTCTAGCATGCATCTAAGCCAGCACATCGCAGACTGGTTTTGTTTTCCACTTGTACCCTCACTGAACTCTCTCAGAAAACATCTGAGGTCACCTGAATTTCTAAGTGAAAGTGAATACTAGACCCTGTTTACCATTAGAGTCACTCGGGGGAATTTCGATGGACAACTCTTATTGAAGAACTTGGAAACTGATGTTTTCAATACATCCCCAGAATGATTCTTGACAAAACCAACAAAGCTTTACTGAATCAATGTGGAAGGTTCTGTCTGATGATCCTCTGTGAAGTTCCTTGTCTAAATTGCATGCAAACTTACAACATACAACTCTGTCCCCTGAAACCGAATGATGTGCAACACATGTCTAATTAATATGGCTTTAAAGGCATTTAAAATGCTAAAAATCATTATTTTTAAGCATTTGAAACATTAAGTACAACATCACCATTGTTGGAGTGTTGGAAGTTACATTAAGGTAATGACAGGCCTCTAACCATAGAAGTTGGTAATCAATGGAAGTGTTTGATTAAAAACAGGATAGCAGACAAAGGATTATTAAGAGTAATGTTGAAAAAGATGTCAAAAAGAAAAATGTCATGTTGCTTACAAGTCTAGGATTTCAATGAAAAGATACAACACTTTCAGCTACAGGAAGTAGAGATAAATGTGGAATAGGACCTCAAGTAAGATAAAGCTTAACGTCCCATATACTTCAAATAAAGAATGAATAAGTTTAAGCATACCTCCCCGCCAAAGCATAGGAAAAGGGGAAAAGCAAATGATGCTTTAAGGTTTGTTATAGGCCAGTTTTAGGTAATTGTAGGCCTTCTTTCACTTTTGTCTTATTTAATATACAAATTTCTATTTTATAGAAGCAACACTTCATGAATAAGTGGTTACTACTTGCCTGTCTACAACTTTCTCTGTGTTATCTATATATCTCTATACATCTAGTATAGCAAACCTAACTGTATTACAACAACGCTGCTACAGAAGATTCCGTGTATGTGTGAGTCCTCATGCATATTTTAAAAGTTAAATTAGTGTAAAGTTAAATTTCAAGTACAAAACATTTTTACTATACAACTTATAAATGATCAAATGAACAAACCTCAGCTTTTTCTTTTTCAACCCTCAGCTCTTAATACACATAGTAAAAACCATATAATATAAAAATGAAAAGTAACAAAGCAACCTAGTTCAAGTAATCAAAAGACAGATTATTGCAAACACAAAATAACATGAACAAAAAATAAACCAACAGGAACTTGCTAGATGGGAATTCACAACATAAGAAAAAATTTATTTTAATAGGAATAATAATGGCATAGTTTAATGTAACCTTCAGAATTCTTGGGGAAAAAACATGACTTACTCTTTGATATCACGAAGCTGATCAACATCCTGGGACCTTGTAAAATCTGGATCATGGGCTAACAGGTGAATCATGTATGGAACTACATATTCAGGCAACAGTGATAATAATTTCTCTAAAAGGAAAACACAGCAATAATGGATTTTATAAAAATCATTTTCATCTTCAAGTCCTAACCAATTCAATTTCTATTTCTTCCCTAAATTGTTTTAAAACCAGAGGGAATGCGACAGCTAGATGGTCCAGAAATATTTCAACTTTCACTTTAGAGAATATTAAAGTCAATTAAAAATTGTATGGTGGGTCTCAGGCAAAACCAGGAAAATAATCCTTTGGTCTCTGAGAACTGACCAATGTTTTCAAAATAAGGCATACTGTTTAGCTCATCAGAAAAATGGACAGTTTTATGCACTATAAATAAGTTTCAAGAAGTAGGAGGCACACCACTACAATGACAACATACTTTAAAAGCTGCCATGCGATTAGAAACAAAAATTTAAAAAGTAGAAACGTATGGACTGACATGATCTATTTACACAGAGAAAATTTTCAAAGGTACTTACCAGTAGCTATGGGGTTCTGTTTAATGTACTCCCTGCGTATACTAATGTTTTTTAGCAAACACTGTCGTGCGTGAGCTCGTCTCTCCTTCACAGGATCTTTGGCACACAAGGCAAAGATCGCCATGTACTCCAATGGGAGCAGCAACTTCACAAGTGCCTTATGCAGCTTCTGAGCAAATATCTGCCTTACTTGGTAGCACTCATCCTACAGCAGCACAGAAACACACACACACACTTCAGATAGAAAAATCAGTACTTTCAAAGGGGAAAAAAATAAACCTAATTAAAAAAAAAATTCAACATTATATGCTTCTGAAAAAAAAATCTATTGGGTGAATAAACAATTTAATGTTTGGGAGATACTGAGTTAAGTCGTAACAGCAGCCCACTTTTACTCTTTATTATTGTAGAAGTATTTAGCTTTGAAGGCTAAGTGACTCATAAGGACGTGGATCACATGACTTACGTTGATAACAAGTGCACAGAGCTGAAACTGTTCTGGGGTAATAATTTCGTGGTAACAAGGTTCCTGAGCAAGCTTCATTATGGCACTGCCAGCAGCTAATCGCAAGCGAGACATATCAGATTTACTATAAACAAACAAAAAAGAAATAAACATTTCCTATAACCTTTATCATTCATACACACACTTTGATCCCTTTTTGAGTATAAGATTCAGAGGATGACTTAGGCTTAAAATCAGGTAATGGACAATCGAGAAAGTGGTTTTGAGGTCATGAGCTAAACATGGAAAACGGCTCAAATTATGAGACTTTCTGATACATGCATCTGCTTTTGCTTCTGTCCTGCTGTCCCTCCAGGACAGCCACGCAAGGAAGAGCCATCACATTGGGAACTTTGCGCCTCTCATTTTAAGAGGTATACTTACTCACTGTAGAAAATTTAGTAAAACAAAACCAAAATACCAACCTATAATATTTTAGGTATATTTTCAACAGAGATTTTTGGCATATGCATATACAAACAATAAGACTCAGACTCATGTCAGCTTAAACGAGGGACAAAAGTTGCTGATTTACATAAGAAAAAGGAACATATAGAACACAGGTTCCCAAACTTATTTGGCATACCACCCCACCTCCTTTTAGAAAATATTCTTCTGTGCTTCCTTGGATATTAAAAAGTTTTGTTTTATAGCTTATAATTAAGGAAAATGTGTAGTCACCTGCTTTTGCAGAGGGCCCCCCTCCCCATCAGTTAAGTCCCTGGGGCCTCCTGCACACTTTTCCTGTCTAGATGGCAAAGTGTGGTAATGAATGGGGAGAAAGGAAAGCCTTTCTCCTATAGCCTTTCAACTTCTACATCGAACACAGCATTGTTTTGGTACTCTGAAGACTCAAGGAAATATAGGTATGACTGGAACCCAGGAGAGACTACTGCTTAACATGAAGCAGAGGGCACTCCTAGACAACAGGAATGATACACCAAGCACTGGTGACAATGCTTGTCGATCCTCACATGGATTCTGAGGCAATGAAATATACAATCGATATTGCACTGTTGTGCAGAGCAGGAACATAGTAACTGTTTCACTGAACTACATGCTGAAGCTAACTAGGACATTAGACTACAGTGACAGACTAATAGATTATTGGGGAAAAAAAGTTCAGTCTTTAGGACTAAAGAAAGATATAACAGCATTATTAAAATAAAAATAATGTAAGCATTATAAATGTGAAGGTAGGATATGAGATGTGATTGCAAAGCCGAGGGGCAATTCTAACATTCAGTAATAATTAGGCAAATAATTCAAATGTAAATGCTACGAACAGAGCTAAAAAAATTAGAAGTGAAAAGCAAATCTCACCTGATCCTCTTTTGTTCTGTCAGGTCACCCTCACTAACCAGCATCGCTGATAATAACCGAAGAGTTGAATTGGCAGATTTAGACTGGTTGTTTTTCATACCCAACAGCCACCTTACCAGAAGTTTAATTGCCTGTACCTATAAAATATTAACATGCTAAAAGAAAGGCAACTTAAAAAAGTTCAAATTAAGGGAAGCCTACTTTATGTTAATTAAATTACTTATCTTTGGCAGCAAGCACATTTTATTAGACAAGTCCCAAAGAAAATAACAACAATAAAAATGAACATTTATTTGGTGTTTAATATATGCAAAGTACTTTCCCAAAGCTGCACTTATATTAACTAATCTCTTGAACAACTTAATGAGAAGTATTCTTACCTCCAACAGGTAGGCAACTGAGACAAGTAGTATATAGATAATGGCTAATGCCCTGTCCTGGTTATTCAACATTTTTAATCACTTGAAAATTTATTTAAAAGGTAACTACTGAAAATGCTACAAAGTAAAAACTACTTGCTGTAGAGTCAACTCTGACTTGTAGTGATATGTGTGTTCAAACATAAATAGCTCTACAGGGGTTTCAGTGGTAGATTTTTCAGAAGTTGGCACCTCTGGGTGAATCTGAACATACAAACTCTTGGTTAGCTGCCAAGTATGTTAGCCATTTTCACATTTTCAGTTTCTCCATAGTGATTGAAAGTATTCACATAGGCGTTCATAATTTTCGTACTGCTAAAGTAGTAGTTTTGAAGAAACTATTTAAGTCTGCTGCAGTCTCAACATTCTAGCAAAAAAATCTACGTGATCCCATAATGACTGTGGTTATAATTACTTCCAAACTTGTGCTCAAAAGATTGTTGTCTTATTTGTATTCAAAAGATTGCTAATATACTTGCGAGAGCAAGTGAAAGGATACAGGTATTATTAACTATCTTCACTAACAACAGATACAGGAATTGATGGATACATGATTACAATGAAGCTATGCAAAGTGAAACAGACTATCAATGTAGACGACAGTTTGTTTCAAATCAGGACCTCGAATGCGTTCAGCCACCACTGAAGGAAAACCATACAAACTCCAATTTCAAGAAAGTGAAAGAACCACACACTAGCTAGAAGGGGAATTACAGGCCAAAGCCCTACTACAAATTTTGTCTCCTAAGAAAACCTGGATAGGGTTTACATGAGTGAGTCTACTGCGTAGTAAATCAACTCTCATTCCTGGCCGAGTAGAAAACAATGGTGTCTGGTTCAAAGATGGCAGTTGATGACACCTCTTTGAATGGCTGATCACTTTCCAACAGTCCTGACAATAATCCAATGTACACACCGGGCTTAGCATGCTCTTCTGTGTATTCCATTCTAGATTGCCCAAATTCTAAAAACTTAGGTCTGTTCCAGCTTTGCTTCACTGACCAAACCGGTTCGAACAGTTTCAAGCCCTGTTTCAAATGTTAAGATCATTACTTTTTAAAAAATGACCTTTACTGAAGTATAATTTCTCTCTCTTGAAAGTCACCAATTTGATGGCAATGAATTTACAAGTTAATATTTCCAAATGATAGTGGTGAAGCTAGACTACTAATCTCGAGATGCCTTTGTGCATCAACACGCAATAATTTTTGTACAAGAGTCCCCTATGACTGTTCAGCAGAGAGGAAAGTCCGTAGAAGACACTGAATACAGTCATATGTAAATAATCAAATGATGGGTGCAATTTTGTTGAAAAACAAACAACTTGTCACCAAGGATTTAAAAATAAAACACCTCACTGAAAAATACATATTAAGTATTAGGTAAAAGGAATACCGACAAACATTCCTTACATCAACCTAAGAGTTATTAAGAGCTACAAAATGTTACCTTTGCTAGTACTTCAGGGGAAACCTCTTCATCTGGAGACCATAATTTCCCATTTTTCTCACCTGTGGACTATAGATAAATTTAACTTTTAGGAAGCAAAAATTTCATTGTTTTGTTCACTAAGCTTTTTATGGTAAATAATATGATTTCTATAAAATAGATAAGAAAATTGGAAAGCTGAACATTATTCTAGATTAAAAGACATATTCGTTGGACAACTCTCCTTAATAGGAGTGAATTATTAAATTTTGTTATGTGAATTATGGCAATAGAAAAAAAAACAGTGGGAAAACTAGATGGTGCCCAGCTACCAGTACCAGCTCCCCTGCAAAGGATCAGATTAGAAGGTCTTGCCTAGTGTGGGAGAAAAACATAGAACAAAACTTGAAATCTTGAGACCAGGCTCACTGGTCTTACGGATAGAGACTTGTAGAAGTCCCAAGACTATCATCCTGAATCACCCATCATGTCTGGACCAGAACACACATCCCCACCTAACCCCATCATTCTTGGAATAATCGACCATCTAACATCAGAAGGGCAGCATTTATCCAAGGGCAATGATCAGAAGGTTTTAAGAGGAGGAGGAACATAAACAGGAAACAGGGAGGAAAGGGGTAAGTGACACATTAAAAGGACTGCAATGGATACGCTGAAGTAAATGGGCTTGACTTATTGAATGTAAATAGAGAAAAAAAGTTCATTATAAACTGTTCAGTACAGCATCCAATATATACTAGCTCCTCATATTTGCACCAATGTCTGTAATAAAGCACAGGTAAACATGAAAAAAACAAAGAAAAAGAAAAAAAAAGTGGGATTTATTGCAAAGGCTCTAGGCTCACAGTTTTTTTTCGAGAGAACAAAAAAAGGCATTTGGCTCCTAGAATAATTTATTTTGGTTATTGTTACTTGTAATTGATATAAGGAATGGTAAGCTGCAGCTGAGGGGAAAAGCAGCTTCTGAAGTGGTCCAGAGAAAAAGCATGGTTGATTAACAGGAGGCCAGTATGTACTGGAGCCATCCTGCTAGAAGCCCAGATCCTACATACATTCATATAGTCCAGGGGTGGAGAATAGATGAGTGCATTTCAGTATTAGGAGTTAAGGATTGCCTGAAAAGAAAAAGGCTTTTTTAGTTGAAGTCAAGGTAGAGCAAGGGGCTTAGAAAAGAAAACCTGAGCCCCAACCAGAACTGCTGAGAAAACAGAGTTCTGTATTTTAAGGGAAGACCTGTACAGAAAGAGAAAAGAGGCTGGAAGTTTAAAAGGTAAAGTTTACTGAGCTTATGGGCATGGCTTAGCCCCAGGGCCCAGCGGGTCTGAAGTGTGGGGAGGTTTGTGTGGACTTCTAAGCTTGCAGTGGCATCAACTGACCCACTGTGGATGGCTAAGGCTGATGACCAGAACTGGACCAACTGCTTTGACTATGTGAGCTGGAATTGGCTGCCATTAGGCTTTGGTTCAGATCTCTTGCTTTGAGGGTGCTCAATAAATGGTGGCCCTGAACTACCATTTATTTATTATTTTTGTGCCCTCCTTGCTTTATTATGGCATATATTTATCTGGTAGGCATGGTTCTGCCTTTGTGAATATTATTCAAAGTTTTGCCCCATTCACAACCCCCACTGTTTGTGTAAAGTGTCCAGTCACTTATGAGTTTAATCTGTATGGGTCAACAATTCATGTACTGAGGTATGAAGCCAGCCTATTCTTGTATAATTTGTTTCTCATCAGTGTTTTAAATTCTATACTACTAGCTAAGTTAATGTTATAATTAATAGAATTCGGGAGAAAGATGGGGCTTTCTACTCCTGTAGAGTTACAGTCTGGGACTCACAGGGGCAGTTCTACCCTGTCCCAGAGGGTGGCTGAGTCAGCATTGAGTTGATGGCAGTGAGGTTTTTTTCTTTTCTTTTCTGGTTATCAACAGAATTACCATATGCTCCGGGGGATGATTTATAATGTACTCTATTATAAATTGATAATGACTCTAAAGTGAACCACAGACATAAATATATGGATTTTCAGTTTGCACTTAATTATAGTCCCAATATAAGAACAGTTAGTTCTTATGACACAACCCTGCTCAATACCTACCCCCAAAAAGGGATCACTATGCTCACCTTCCCGACACAATTGCTGAAGACAAAGCGGGTGAATAAGCAAATGTGATGAAGAAAGCTGATGGTGCCCAGCTATCAAAAGATATGTCTGGGGTCTTAAAGGTAAAAGCTTGAAGGTAAACAAGCGGCCATCTAGCTCAGAAGCAACACATATCAGCCTGTGTGATCACAAGGTGTCAAAGGGATCACTGAAGACAAATGGGTGCATAAGCAAATGTGGTGAAGAAAGCTGATGGTGCCCAGCTATCAAAAAGTATAGCATCTGGGCTCTTAAAGGCTTGAAGGTAAACAAGCGGCCATCAAGCTCAGAAGCAACAAAGCCCACATGGAAGAAGCACACCAGCCTATGCGATCACAAGGTGTCAAAGGGATCAGGTATAGGGCATCATCAGAATGAAAAATCTTACTATAGTGAATGATGGCGGCAGTGCCGAGTGGAGACCCAAAGCCCATTTGCAGGCCACTGGAGATCCCCTTGCAGAAGGGTTTCAGGGAGGAGACGAGCTAGTCAGGGTGCGACGCAGCAACAATGAAAAATACAACTTTCCTCTAGTTCCTAAAAGCTTCTACCCCGCCCCCAATATCATAATCCGAATTCTACCTTGCAAGTCTGGCTAGACCAGAGGATGTACACTGATACAGATAGGAACTGGAACCACAGGGAATCCAGGGTGGATGATCCCTTCAGGACCAGTGGTGTGAGTGGCGATACTGGGAGGGCAGAGGGAGAGTGGGTTGGAAAGAGGGAACTGATTATAAGGAACTATATGTGACCCCCTCCCTGGGGGACGGACAACAGAAAAGTGGGTGAAGGGAGATGTCAGACAGGGCAAGATATGACAAAATAATAATTTATAAATTATCAAGGGCTCATGCGGGAGGGGGAAGCGGGGAGGGAGGGGAAAAATGAGGACCTGATGCCGGCGGCTTAAGTGGAGAGGAAATGTTTTGAGAATGATGAATGCAATGAATGTACAAATGTGCTTTACACAATTGATGTATGTATGGATTGTGATAAGAGTTGTATGAGCCCCTAATAAAATGATTTAAAAAAAAGGGGGGGGGATTCGGTAAAAATAAAAGTGCTATAGAAAAGTATTGTGAAGAAACCAGACAGTGTCCAGCTATGATCAAAGAAAAGCATCTGAGGTCTTAAAGGCTTGTCTTTAGACAAGCAATCATCTTAGTGAGTTGTCAACTAAGCGAACCTGGAAAAAGCACACTAGCCTGTGTGATACAAGTATTGTATACAAGGGGTTACCCCCCAAAACCGGAAAAAACCCTCCACTGGGCAGAGCTGTAGTAGTACGCATTTTTCCTGCTAGGCCAGCATTGAGCAACTCACTGTGACTTAGTACATATAGTGGCGTTGCTCAGGAAGGATCTTTCTGGTCACAGTGAATTTTTTCATACAAGCAGTTTCTCTCGAAACTCATTTTTTGTGTGTGTGAGTGTGTGATGGCCAGATTAATAGAACAGTGTGCAGCAATGAAATTTTGTTTCCTGCTGAGGAAAAACACCACAGAAACTCACGTTGTGATGCTGAACACAGCTGACAAGGTCTGCGCTACGGGAAACTCAAGTGCACTAGAGGTTTTCTCCTTTCAGAAAAGGTTCAATGCTGATTGAGGACACACCTTGTTCTGGACATCTGTCAACTTCCTGAGTGGAGGATAATGTTGACAAAATTCGTGCACTTGTGCTTGAAGCCTGACCACAGATCACTGAAGAAATGGGCAAGTTATCTGGACTATGTTGGAGCTTGGTTCAGTGAATTTTAATGGAAGATTTGGGAATGAGATGGGATGCTGCGACATTTGTGCCTCGGGTTCTAACCAGCCAAACCGACCCAGACTTTTTCGCCCCAAGGTCATGACAAGACCCGAAAGTAAACATCAATCAAGCCAGTGGAAGCCGCCATTGTTACCTCACCCCCCAAAAGCTCATCAAGTGAAATCAAAGATCAAGATGATGTTCATTTTTCTTTTTTTTTTTTATGTGAGGGGGCAGTGCATTTGGAGTTCGTTCCATTAGGTCAGACTGTTAATCAAGCTTTTCATTTAGACTAGTTGTTCTCAACCTTCCTAATGCCGCGGCCCTTAATAGAGTTCCTCATGTTGTGGTGACCCCAGAAGACACCAGAGGAGCAGCAGCAGCAGGACCAGGAGCCAGACCATGTATTAGAGCGGTGGATTTCCCAACCCATGGATCAAATAAAGTTGAAGGCTTTTGTGCAGGAGGCTGAATTTTGGGGTAGGGTGGACTTCTACACACTTAATTCAGCGTGCTGGGTTAGCTGACTCACAGAACTTGAACTAAATGTTTTCGGGTTGAGGCTTACAGCAGAATAATGTCCCTTTGGTATTTATTAGCAGACTTGAAAGACCTTTGTAACATATCCTGATAAACAACTATCCTATTTCTTCTGAGCATTCCTCATTGGCATTACGTCCTGCTAACATCCATAATGAACTCTTTAATCATTTGGAGGGGTGGGAGGGAAGTGGCATATTCTATAACGTATATGTTATTTCTATGAAAAATATAATAAATGCTCCAATTCTGTGACTTAAGTCATTATGGATCAGAAGGAAAATAATCAGGCTGAGATTACTAAATTTCTTCAATTAAAGAAAAACTTTAAAATGACTGCTATAAGTTTTGCTTAAAAAAACTTAAATATATTGTACATACACTGATAAAGCAAAAATAACATTGTATTTTAGAAAAACTTGGCGATAAGTGTTTTATTTCTAGCATTAGTAATATCAGGCAGTTGGGGGTTTAACTAACAGTCAGATCTCTCATCATTAAGGGGAAAAAAAACATCAGTTTGATTTAAGTCTTTGAGAAGGCTGTCCTTGCTCAAACAAGGAGTGGGCAAATGCAGAAGGAAAGAATGGGATCACTAGAGGACTGAGCTTGGTCAGGAATTAAGACTGTTATGGCTACTTTTGGCTTGTCCAAGGTCAAGTCATACCTTATATACTCAACTTTCCTGCTTAAGCATTTACTTAAAAAACAAACCAAAAAAACCATTTTATTGGCCCCTAATTCACATACCATACAATTCAATAGTTCAATCCTATTACTTAAGCATCTTAAAAATAGGACTCATCAATAATTGTCATCTATGAAGAATGTTAAATCACATTTGCTAGCCCTATTTATCAAAGGAAGTGTGAGACATAGGATGACACGCATGCCTTTGTCTTGTCTACTATGTCCAGAATGGGTGGCGGAGGAGAGAACCCTATTCTTCAGAAAGTTCCCCATACTGGGTGCTCAAGCTGAGTAAGCCACTGAGAAAGGTTAGGAAGGATTTGGGTAAGCTGATATTGACTTGATCTTTTATTTACAATGCTTCAGCTGATTTGTGTCTTTCCTCAATATTCCTTTAATTTAGGTCATGTGGTTATTTTTAATTACAGGTGTGTTTCAGAAATCACAGGGGTAGCTTTTGCAAGCTATACAGTCCTAGGATAAGGTGACCAGACGTCCCACTTTTGAACAATTTTTCCTGTGTCCCGCAGCATTTTTAAAAAGTCCCGATTTTTGGGAAAAATGCACGACAAGCTAGGGTATACGGTTTTCGGCTGCCATGTGGCTATTTCGCCAGGATATGAGTTTTATCAATGGTGTCCCGCTTTACCAATGTTAAAATCTGGTCACCTTATCCTAGGATCAAACTCAGAACTAATATATTAGACTCACTGCCATCGAGTCAATTCTGACTTGGAGTGACCCTATAGGTATATCAGAAATGCCTCTGTGGTTTCTGAAGCAGTTTGTAGGAGGAGAAAGCCTCTTTTCCCCATCGAATGGCTGGTGGATTCAAATGTCCAACCTTGGGTTAGTAACGAAACACCTCACCCACTACACCACCAAAGCTCTTAATACACATACTCTTCAGTACCTACCTCAATCACAAGATAAATGAAGGTAGGTCAAACAGTATTGTTACAGTTCAGACATGCATTATTTATTACTAACAAAAAATACTCAAACAGATCTCTTTAATAAGTGATGGCTGCAGTTAGGTTCTCTCAGTAATACACTTGTCACCTGTCTTAAGAGTCTGTAAGACTACCTTAAACCCCATCCCCCTCCCTCCCCCGCCCAAAATATACAAACCGGGTCCAATCAATACAGTGGTTTATGGATTTGTTGGACAATTAACTTCCAGGCCAACAGGTCAGCTCTGAAAGCTAGGGTGACTTGACTTTGGGTGCCTTGGGTGGGCGAAATCTCCATGGGGTAATCTCAGATTTTCTTGAAGAGCACAGGGAAACTGCAGGACTTAATAGGAAGAAGTTTTAAGAAAAATAAAGAGCTGTATTGCTGAGGAAGTTTTCCCATCCTAACAATGCACCCACTCATTCTTTGAGGGGAGGAAGGGCTGCCCTCTGATCATTCTCTGGGAAATCCTTACCCTCCTATAGCCCTCATCTTGTCCCTTTCTTTTGGTTCCCCAAACTCATAAAACATTTAACTGGAGTAAGATTTTAGTCCTCGAGGATGCCAAGAGTGCGGTTTGGACACCTTGTAACGAGAAGACGACATAATTTTGAAGGATAGGGTTAGAAAGATGGAAATGCTGCCTTTAGAAATGTATAAATGGAGATGTTAAGAAACAATATCTTTAAATTTTGATATTTTTGCTTTATAAAGGTTTTTTATTTCACAGTAATACTTTTACTTACCCTCATATTTAGTGCCAAAAGCCTGAGGTCCTTTTGGTATATTTCAAAAGGTTAGTATAATTCAAGCTTACTTATTTAAAAACCGTATTTGTTAAAAAAAAAAAAAAAAAAAATGTTCGAATGCTCCAGAAGGTTCTCAAAAGGTTAGGATAAAAGTATTTGATTTACATTTTTAACTTCCTAATACATTCATCACATGGTCTCATTTCCCGCTCTTGAATGTTAAGTTCTAGTAACAGCTACTGAGAAGTCAGAAAGCATTTGAAAATTTGAGTAAGCAAATAAATAAGGGAGTGAGTTATATAATAAAAGGATAAGAGAATTATAGAAAGAAGCAAGCATTTTCTGAGACAAACGAGGATAAGAGTTTTAATATTATCAGCTCTAAGAGTAATACCGCAGCTCTACGTTCTCATGAAGATGGAGAGACTTACCCTGTCATTCATTAGTAGATCTTTCACAATAAAGTTTGCGACTACAGATTTCATTGGGGAAGCAAACTGATCTGGTGCTAACATAGAAATGTGGCCCAAAGAAACTAATGGAGTTATAAGTTGTTCTGGTACATCTGCATTCAGACTCCTACTGAGTGGCTATAAAAATAAAATACACAAAATTACTAGTTTGTTTTATAAATGTCTAGACAGTCTGTTAAAACACATTTCAGAATTCTGAATTTAATGTGGCCAAAGTCAATCTATTCTAGTGATACATGGCCATAAGAAACTTTAACCACACCAACCATAAGAAACTTTAACCACTCTTGGTTCTTATCCACTGAAATTAAAAATGGAAAGAATGTAAAATAATACACGAGCCCGTGCACATGCACTGAGGAGTACATTAAAACATGCTAATATTTCTACTTCACTGAATTCAGCATTATTTTCCAGTTCTCTGGAATTGGCCTGGGAGGCAGTTTAAAATTACTTTGAATCAAAGAAAATATAAGTTGTCTGGGTTTGGTTAATAAGGTATAATTTTTAACAGATAATCTTATAAAAGCATGAGTCAAAAAATTATATTTAAGGAAAGGGAAACTAGGATTAACTTCCAGATAGAGTTGTCAGATAGATGAGGTTTCAAAATCATCAACTCATGCTCAATAAAGATAAATGGACTTCAGCCAACAAGCCTCAAACGAAGATAAAATGCCACATGCACATATTCCTTCAATATAAATTAAGTTCAAAATGTAAATGAAAGGCTGGGGCTATAGTACTGAAAAAGAAACACGAGGTATCTGCTGTTACAGAATTTAAATTAAAATCAGAAAGACTAAAAACCTCTAACTTTTGCTATGATGAAAACACCAAAAACAATACCAATTTATAAACTATCAAGGGCTCATGAGGGAAGGGGGAGCGGGGAGGGAGGGGAAAAAATGAGGACTTAATGTCGGGGGTTTAAGTGGAGAGAAAATGTTTTGAGAATGACTGTCAAATGCACTTTACACAATTGATGTGTGTATGGATTGCGATAACAGTTGTATGAACCCCTAATAAAATGTTTTAAAAAAAATTGTAAAAAGAAAAAAAAAAAACATCAAAAACAAAAACTCACTGCCACCGAGTTGATTCCAACTCACAGCGATCATGTAGGACAAAGGAGAACCACCCTGTGAGTCTCTGACTTTGGAGTAGATAGCTGTATCTTTCTCCTGCAGACCAGCTTGGAGGGTTTGAACCTCGGATCCTGTGGTTGGCAGCTTGATGTGCAAACCTCTATGTCACTGGGGCTCTTGCCATCAAACCACCACAGCACTTAAAAGAAAATAGAACCCAAGATACATTATATGAATTACACATACCTCAAAAATCTGTGCTAGCTGGACTTCTTTATTTGTAAATATGGCATGTATACAGTGCACAGCCTGTTTTGCTTGGTGTGGAGTACCTCGCTTTGCTTTTTGATGTAAAATTGGAATTAAGGTCCTGTAAAAAATATCAATAGTGAAAAAACAATCAAACCCCACAAACACAAGTAATACCTCCTGCATTACTTCCCCTATTTGAATGCATGCTATCTTTTAAGTAGTCAGTTTTTTGAGAAAGAAAAACAAGATAAGTTATTTCTTGGGGTCATATTTCTAATTTCCTACTTACTTTCTACAGTTGTCATCAGTTATTTCAAAAAGCTAAAATGATAGAAGAAAGTGTGCAAGTATACTGATGGAAAAATATTAAAAAACATCTAGGAAATATTAAGTGTGTGCACCATTGACTGCACAACCACTCAAAGGACTATTTATTACTTATAACTATAATATAGATTATAAAAACTTGAGCCTCCTATAGGACAGAGCTAGAAAATAGTGAAGCTGAAGTTTGATACCTATAAATGATAATAGAGAACAAGTAAAATGAAAAGAACATGTTTACATGAATCTATAAAAACTGCCATACACTTTAGGTAGATAAGACAAACATAGCCATGAAAAACAAAACTCAAACACATCAAAATGTCAACACTGGCTTTTTAAAATTTTTCTAAAGTTCTCTTGCCTTATTGTTATCCTGAGAAGAAAATTGATTTATGAATGGATACTAAGAATTACTTGCATATTCCCTAAAAGGTTGATTTAAGTCTAAATAAAAACCTTCAGCACTAAGTTTGATCCTAAGGCAACGATCCTCCTTAATATGTCAAAGTGAAAACAAAATTAGACAAAAATAA